ATGTACTCAATCTATTTCACAGTACTCATACCTAAACATAAAATTCGAGTCAATTGTCCAAAAGAACATTTCTTTAAGCATCGCTTTTCAACTGTTCTTTCATGCTTTCAAGCTACAAGGTAGAGAAACAATTAAGACTAGACATTTGATTACCCAAAATAGGAAAAGTTATCATATGTAAGAGAAATGGAGTATGGCAAACCAACTGATACCTGTATGTAATCAGTAAGATACTTAAAATGCTATTTTGACAAGACATAATGTCATTGTGACCCATGTGAATGTTTTTATTCTAAATATCTCTTACTTTTGACTATTCAAAACTGTTTTGGGTCGACAAAAACTGCAGCTATTAGTAATAGTCCCACTATTAAATGTTAAAATGACTTTCCAACCATATAACTGTGGTTTCAATTCTTTAGAGCTGTTAAGTTCTTTGTGCCATCAGACAAGCTTTATGAGGGAGGCCTCCAATGTCACTACCTGATCTGTACTGGAAGCATGATCCATACCATGAGTATATTTGTGTATCCATAGCCACACATTCACCCAGGTCACTATAAATAATATAATTATGGTACTGAAAGTACTTATCTCTATCCATCAAATATACTAAACTACAATTTGTAAAAATTATTAAACACTTTTCTGAGAGAATTGGATGTTTTTTATATTCTCTGTTAGTTTGCTTGTCTGGCGTTATGGGACATGCTCAAAGCAGTCCGGCAAAATATGATAACACTGTGTTTAACTGTATTTTAGCTATGCCTTTCTTTAGAGCATGCACTATATAAATATTATATAAAAGAGCTATAAGATGCAAACATAAATCTCAGAATAACTACAATTATTATAAAAATCCAAAGCTGAAAAGAATTAGCTGTGTTTACTTGGTTAGGAAAGCATTTCATGGACAAATTGAGTACACAGGAGTGATGTAACAGAAAACATGTTCACGCATTAATTCTATCATGAAAGTCATTATTAACCTTTCACAGAATGTAGTTCAGTGCTTTAAAAAAAAAAAAGAGAGAGAAAAAATAGTCTTTTCTTCATAAAACTCTATGGCGACAAGAATGCGACAAGCGAAAAATAAGCTGATAATACAGATCATGCAAACGGTACGGAACGGAGTGTGATATCCACTATTGTCATGTTTTTGCATTTTGGCACCATCTAGAGGTGGGAGGGTGAACAAGACATTGTTGAGATGACCCAGAAAAGAGCTTACAGAAATTTCTGACATTTCTTTTCAAATCTCTGTTTAGCAATAGCCACAACAATAAAATAATCTGCAAACCTGGGAGTAGAATATTTACCTACAATTATGACTGGTAATGCCTAATGTCACTAATTTGCATCACACCTAAATTTAAATCTGTTTCTGCAAATTTAAAAAAGAGTGTCTATTTAATTTAGGATTTGAGAAATATATCTATTTTTATATAATTTTCAGTCAATTCAGGCTGTAATGTTTAAATATAGGGTTAATGTTTAAAAGTAATAGAGAATGTGAAGGCAAAAACTGTGATCAGAAGTCGTACAGTGCTTGTACACATCACAATATTTCATCTCAATCTGATAAAACCCTGATAGGGGCTGCATTTACAGGGATGTTACAGGTTTTACCAGGCATTATAACCAGGAACCACTGATTAAAACCTCTGACCAGAACACAGGTTTTAGTATTAGTCTAGAGAGTGCAGGAAAGTTATAGATGCTTTTTTAAAATGCTGTTTTGATGCAAAAAAATACAAGTTGAAGAAACTCATGTAATAGGTAGCTTTTCTTTTTGCTTCAAATAATAAAATGAGAAAAAAATAAATAAAAGACATTTCTTTGAACTCATCCACTATACCTAGAATTATACAACAAATACAAAGTTTAGCTTAGTGTATCCACTGTTCTTTTTTCACCCTGTGATCACTTCTTGTCTCAACTAGACTGGGGACATTTTGTTATTTACCAGCCTGCATCGGTCATGTAAACCATGACGATTTCAGCTCATGTGGGAGAGTTTCCTGGTGAATTCCCCCAAACTAGCATTCAAAGCCCTTAAACACCAGTTTTATGCGCCTTTAAATGGTCCTTATGCTCTGCTTCGCTGCCCCCGCTCGGATAAAGCCCAGTAATTTCAATGTTACAGTAGCAGCAGATCAGACTTTTAGGTGTTGCAGATGGCCTTTAAAAAAACATTTCTCTATAGTGGTCGATTACACGCCTGTCATTTCCTGTTTGAGTTAACGCTTGCTTTTAGTCTAATATTCTAACCCACGTCTCTCCACAGACCCTGACATTAAGGTGGAGCGGCAGATCTCAATAGCAGCGTGCAGGAGCAGTAGCCCTTGTGTCACCAAAGAGCCAACCATCATCTCCAACCACAGAGGAAAGTGAAACCTGCGGCCCATCAGGGGAACAGTGCTCAGAGAGAGGACTCAAGGATCAAACTGTAAATCTGAGACTCCTCACCACCTGTACACACATCAGCTGTAAATGAAGATCCAAACAGAGTTGTGCTTTAGTTCTGCCTCTGTTAAAAGTGTCCTCTGTCAGGGAAAAACCTACATGTTACTGTGAGTAGCGCTGTGTGGTGGAGGATCCACCTGCTACAGATGAACCATGGCTCACACAGCAGGGGGCACTGCAACTTTGGGAAACAGACTCTACTTGGAGCAGCACTGAAGAGGAGATGTGCGTTTACCAGCGACCTTTCTTTTGTAGGTTACCGCATATTGTCGAGAGCTCCCCCACCTCAGGAAACCTCTGGATGCTTTGTTTAGAACGCAGGTCGGCATTGTTCAAGTCAAACTTACCCAGAAGACACAGATACCTTGCAAAAATACTCATACTTGTGAAACATGTAGCAGTTTGTTATGTTATAATTGCGATTATCTTTTTTTTTATCATTTATTTAAGTTTTATTTTTGTGTCATACCAACAGAAGGTATATTTGATCAGAAAGGATGTCCTAAGAAAGGTCCATGATATCCTGTGATCACACAGGAAAACTGAATTTTGTTGCAAGCAAAGAACATGTTTTGAAAGAGGACAACTGAAAAAATTGCCATCCAGAAATGAAACTGTAAAAACTTGTTAATCCAAATTAAAGTTTTCAACATTTATTCAAATTTTCAAACAAAATTTAAAAAATGCGACTCTTAAAATTGCACAGATCACATTCTCTTCACTTCTGTAGGCAGGCTTTCCTTTAAAGGGAGGAGAAAGGCACATTTCTGTTGATCAGCATGGATGTTAGCAATAACATTTTTATTGGTCAATGTGTGCAGCTGTTTGTAATCGAATTGAAGTGAAGAGAATGAGATTTGTAAAATGCAATTCGTAAAAAATACAATTTATACATCTTGATTTGAAAAACTAAAATGTTAAACTTGTAAAGAAGAAAAGAAAATATGAAAAAATAGTAAATTTACTTTGTAGTTTCTTGCAACAATAATGGAACAAAATTCTCTCCATAGTGAAAAAAGGAGACTGAGCCCTTCCCCCAGAGGACCTTAGACTCTGGCACTCTACATGGTGTTGGTCTATCATATTAAATGCACTGCAGTTTTTTCATTTGTTTTTTGTAGTTTTATAGTATTTGAATGTGAAAGTGTTTAATGGGAGTGAATACTTTTGCGAGGCGTTATGGTGTTAAAAGGATTTTGAAAAGCTTTAGTGAGTCAGAGTCATAATTTCTGTTAAACAACGCCTAGAGCTCTGTTAATGGCTTTTGTCCTATTTACGGTTTAATGTCGTCCACTAAAGACAAAACTGTACAGTTGTTGAAACACTGCGTTGAAAACTACATTAAAAAGTTCTTTTTTTAAATTTTCACAACATTGTTCAGAAATGGAGTATTATCACAGCCGCTTGTGAGATATGTCAGTGATCTTTGAAAAATTAAGTCAATCCCTATCTGTTTTTGTTCCTGTTTTAAGACACTTATGTTTTCTGTGGGGTTGTTCTTTTGTGCAGCTACGCTAAATTCTCGTGGTATTTGTGCATTCACAAACACACTTGATCCATCTTGTAGCGCTCCTTCTCTTACTGTTTGATACTGACCCAAAAAGGTCAGAGCAGGAGTAAGTATGTTTAGCTGCTGCTGTCACATCTGTTTGTTCAGAATCTACAGTTTCATCTTATAAAGAGGAACAGGACATTACAAGCGTTGATTTAAAAAAAAAGGAAAAAAAACAGTGGTTTCTCATGGCATCTGTCGTTTTCCTTTTTTACCTTAATTGGCTACAACAAACTTTGATAGGGAGCCACTAGGTGTGGCTCTGACCAATCAGCTCAGAAGGTTCTGCTGAACATCCCTTCTTTCCCCAAATCATCAGTTTGGCCGGCAGGATATCTAACAACTTAGATTTATAAAACACAGAGGTTCAGGTTATCCTGCATTACCTCTGTAGTTATGCTGCTACAGGGTTAGGCTGATGGAAGACATAGGGACCACTTTCATCACTCTGCTTCATTCTATCTCTGTTTTCAGAGGCCGTTGTTTAAAAGCAACTCCCTCAAAATTAATTCCCCTATTTATGTTCATAATCACTTTTCAATGTTGCAGACCATCGGTGAGGTAGCGTACTGTGCATCAGTTACACCAGTCTGTTTTTCTAGCTTATGTATCCCTTTGTGTATGCTGCAGGACAAATAATTTATTTTAATATATCATAATAAATGTTACTTTAATGATTTTGATCGGTGTTTTAATTCTCCTGACAAAGAGCGACTCTAATGTGTGGAAGACTTAGCAGAAGCTGAGTCACACATCCAGCAACACTTCTCCCATGGTCTTGTCGGTTGCTGCTGTGACTCAGTAGTGCTGGTCATGTCATCCGCAGACACTGGACAACAAAACGGCTTGACAGCAAACCTTTGAATTCTGCTGTGTGATTTTTTAAACTACTGTCAGCTTTTTTCTGTGTGAGTAATAGTAAGTACCCACGAAATGAGTTCAGGGCGTTCAGAAAGTCAAAGCACCACAGGCCCTGTAGGGATGCCAGGATTGCTCATCCACACAGAAACACCTTCGCTCTTCTAAAACAACTTGCGAGGAAATTCATATTTCCCCACGGACTCCTGTTTAATATCCTGAAACGGCTTTTTCTGTAGAGAGAATTTCAAGCCTTAGATTTCATTTTTCATGTACATGAGCTCTCTTTTTACACAGATCTTAAAATAGCTTCAAATGAAACAACCGTGAGTAAACAGACTTCTGGTCTACTTTTATAAGCCTTACCCCCATGTAATTGCTGCCAGGCATGTAGAGTTAAGAAATCACATAGATCAGGGGTCTTCAACGTTTTCAAAGCCAAGGACCCCCAAACTGATTGCGAGATGGAGCAGGGACCCCCTAATTATATATATTGTATGAAATTGTGTTATATGAAACTGGTCCTAAAGTCACTCTATTACATATGGAGTCATGTAACGAAAGTAATTTCGTTACACTTTTTAAATTCTCATTTAACTGAATGATTTTGTAAGCAATGAATAAATGTTATTCTTAAATATCAACCAGACTTCATTTTAACATCTTATGATAAAATCAGTCTGGCAACAGCAAAAAAAAAAAAAGCTGCCATCATTCAGCTGTCAGTGCTGCTAATTAGGGAGTTTAATCTTTGTTTCTTTCTTTAGCTCCTGTTCTTTCCTCTGCAACAGTGTGGAGCAGCAGAAAGTGGATCTGATGACAAGCAGCACAAGGACAGTTTACGTCAGCAGAGAATGAATGTTCTTTTTGAACTTACAGATCTTTTTAACAATTTAGGGATCCAAAAAACTGAGCAAGAAATTGTGCTAAACTGTATAAACCTGCAAAATACTGACTGCACTGGAAAAACGATCTTGAAATAAGTAAACATTTCTTAAATTAAGTGTATTTACCATTAATTTCAGTAGGTAAATGAGATAGTTTGCCAATGGAATGAGTATTTTTACTCTTAAAATGATATATTTAGATCATAGGCACTTGAAATAAGACAATGCAATTGTGTTTTTT